ACTGATGCCCATCAGCACTCCAGGCACACCTGGGGCACAGGGAACACCCACAGGATGGCTCCATCTGATCCCAACAAAAGGGCTGGAAGATCACCAACACTGAGCAGTCACCAGCAGGTGATGATCTGGGTATTCCCTGCCATATTCCTTAGCTCAGGATGAGCTAAGGCTCACCCTGTGCTGCCAAAAGGGAGCTGCTTCCAAGAACAACCTCCGTGGGCTTTCCTGAGGATTCCTGCGTTCCCATTGCATCACCTGCTGCCTTGCCTCTTGCAGGAAAAAGATGTATTTGGAAGGAATACCTAAACCCAAAGCAGTTTGGACAGTTTGGACTGCGTCCAGCATGCTCTTTGCACATAACCTAACCTGAGGGATCCTTAAAATCACATCCTGCCCATGGACTTGATGACATGGGCTCTGCCTTGCACTTCTAGCAGGACTGGGAACTGCTCAACACGTTGTATTTGACTGCAGTAGTAGCACTCAAATTCTGCTCACACATCCTTAAAAACATTTATAGCGCCTTCTGAGAGCTTCCACCCTCTGGGAGAGACAAATATAAACCCACAAAACAGCTGCTCCATGTGTTCTGACTGTTGCACAAAGCAACAGGCAGGGGTTTGTTCCAAGCTGGAGCTCAGCACGGCTCCTTTTCCACAGGAACAGGGCAAACACGCTCACTTTAAATCTGCCCTAGCAAGGGGGGCCAGCCCACAAACCGAAATGCTGGTGCTAGGAGAATCCAGAAGCTTCCCCTGATGAGGAAGGAGGAGCTGGCAGGGGACGAGGAGCAGCTCCTTGGGCTGCCAACCAGCTGTTCCCCTGCAGCCCATTTTAGCTCACCCTGTGGATACTCATCCGTGCACGTGGACAGAGACAGTCTGTCATTCTGACTCCGCAGAGCTGGTTTAGGTCAGGCTCGGGAGTCCCAGTTTGCCCTCACGTGATGATTTTCCAATGCAGAACAAGACTTTCAAAATCTTCAGCATCAATAAAAACAGCCCAGAAAAGCAGTGACTAACCAGTGCATCTGCCTGCAGTGTGAACACTGAAATCAAATGACTTAAAATAAAAAGCACTATTACAAAGCAAAAATAAGAACCTCTGATGCAAGCAGGCTGCCTGGCATCATCAGCACTTACTTAATCCAGGAGACTAATAAATAACTATGACTTATAAGTCAAAATTTAGCTACCTTTGCTGCAGAAAACAGTGACTAATGGTATCAGCTTCCTGTGCATCTGTCCCACTTGCGCTGGATGAAAACCATATCCAGGTCAGGATAAAAAGCAGCAGCTTTTAGGTGTTTTTATTAAATAAACCTCCCTTGTATCAAATAAACCAAAACAAGGGTTGCCAAGTCTGTGCTCAAAGAGCCTTTGAAGAGCAGCCTGTTTGCTGGCTGTGAGCTTGCCCATCACCTCAACTCTTGGTGTGCTTTTGAAGAGCACTGGAGAGAGGAGAAACTCCTGGAAGATTCATTCCCTCAGCTCCGTCTGACCCACAGAAACTCGTTCTCTGGGGATCTGAAGCCAGGCATGGAGTTTGGGATCAAAATTCATCTGAACCTTATCCCACCAATTGCCATGGACCAAACTACTGAACCAATGAGTGAGCTGAGGATTTTAAACCTCAGGGAGCTTGGCTGGAAGGAGAACCCACCAAGTGAGTTGGAAGCCAAAGGGTGGCAGGGATGGAGCTGTCTCACCCTTCGGGAATAAGTCAGCAGCAGACACTCCAGAGCCTCTGCCAAAGTGCTCAGGTGCTCCCAGAGGTACCTGAACCAGCACCCCTTAGGATGAGCATCACCTACAGGGAAGTAAAACATTCCCAGCCACGACGCAACACAACACTGGGAATTTCAAGCAGTGGGACTGTGTCCCCTCTTACACCTCCAAAAAACAAGGAGAGGAAAGAGAAGCTACGAAGGGAGGGATGGTCATGGATGGCTGCCTGTTCCATTCAGGAGACAGCCTCTCCCTTGCCTTCTTTCCTAGCCCATTCCATCACCTCAGTGAAAAACCCTTTTGCTGGATTAAGCAGGATGGCTCTCGACTCCCTCACCTGCACCCCAACCACACAAGCTCCTGCAGTCATCAGAATTAATCCTTCTATCAGCCTCTGAATTCCTGCAGGATTTGAGCTAATTTTCATTTTAAACACCAACAAAATGGGAACAAAGTTACCACGTTGACAAACAGCACCTCCAGCACCTGCATGAACCACATGGAGCTGATCAGCTGTCTGCCAATGTTGTCACTGGGCAGGTGAGGACAGAATGTCACCCTCTTCATTTTGATTTTTTGTTTTAGTACCGAGTTCTTCCACAAACTGAAACCTGAGACAGATAGTACTACTGTGCTGGACCTCTTTGAAAGCTCCAAACCCAGGAGTGCTAAGAACTGCTCTGGAGAAAAGGATTTCTCCAAATATAATTTCAAAGAAACCAACTAAACCAGCTTTGTGGCACGGCTGCACACCCAGAGTTTTTTGTAAGCTCCTCTCCTGGGTGACACAACCACTCCCCAAAACTTAAACAAGCCAAGTCAGTGCAGGACACAGTGTTTCCTTCATGCCCCAGCCGTTTCCGTCAGTTTCCAGCAGCCTGGAAGAATGAGGTGCTGTGACAGGTGACACACCTACCTGTCACCTGCCTCCTGAAGGACAAACACCCTCTCCACCTCCAGCTGAGCTTTCCTACCCAGCTTCTCCCTATTTCCCAAGTGTTCCAGCCACAGTCTGCTGGCATCGTCCTCCAGCTTCCCCGACAGCCACAAATCCCTCACACCTGATGGAGCTCTGGAGAAACAGTCACAAAACAAATGGACAGCCCCAGCATGGGATTCAAAAAAATGAAAAGAAGGGGGGAAGAAAACAGAAGCTGTGGGGGGGTCAGGGAGATGTCAGGATCACTGCTGGAAAAGCATGCCAAGGAAGATCTTGCCCTTGGTCACAGACTGCAGTGCTGAGGGAGCGCTCACAAAGAGCTATTGGACTGCTCGGACAACACCCAGCACAAGTCTAAGGACCTTTCTCCAGATGGGAAAAAAAGGCTCTCGCCAGTCTCTGCTAAACAAATCCGAGCAGGCATTTGCCAAGGCCTCTCCAAAACACAGTCCAGAATAGACGACAGTGTCCTTTATCCGACCATTTCTCTTTCTATTTTGGTCCCCCTCAGCAGGCTGTCAGCCTGTTTGGGTCTCACCTCTGGAGATCCCACCTAGGAACTCGGAGGGTTTCCTCACTGACTCGGGGTTGATTTTTCAGCGTGTGGCTCCTGCATGTTGTGTAGGATACCAGGACTTCGGATACCCCACGGGCACCAGCCCGGTCTCCCAGTGCTGGATGCTCCAGAGGCAGCAACCTGGTCACCCAACGCCCAATCTCACAGAAACCACCCCAGTCATCCAATGCCGGATATCCCGCAGGCACCATCCTGCTCTCCCAGTACCAAATATCCCACAAGAACCTCCCGGTGCCCGATATCCCACCAGCCGCACTCCTGTCTCCCAAAACTCGAAATCCCACAGGCACCACCCCGCTCTCCCCACGCCCGGTATTCCACAGGCACCACCCCGCCTCCCAAGGACCGATATCTCCCCGGCCGCAACCCCGTCCCCCAACGCCGGATACACCACGGGCACCATCCCGCCCTCCCAACGTCCGGGCCCCGCACTCACCTTCTCGCAGAGGCTGCGGACCTGGCTCTCGCTCAGCTGCCGGCACTCGTTCAGCTGCTCGATCCACTGGTCCAGCTCCTTGGCGAAGCCCTTCTCCTCCATGGCTGGGGGGCCGGGCGGGCCCCCCGAGG